TGCCTTGCATATTGGATGCTCCAGAATTTCTTTCTGCCCTTCATCAATAAATGTTTTCAAGAAATTCATCTCTCCTTTTTGGCAATGTTGCAGGAAAATTCTGAAATCTAGCTTCAGTATTACCTCTCTTTTTGATGACACTTCAGGATCATGCATTAATATTGCAGTGTCCAGTTTTTTGTAAAACACCGGAAGTGCCAACGGTGTCTTACGAACAATAATACCAAGTGCAGGGTTACCACCTTTTGTCTTTACACTAACATCTGCACCATTGCTTATCAATAATTTTACGCACTGTGTATTTTCATTCAACGCAGCTACATGAAGAGGAGTATAGCCAAATATGTCTCCAGTATTAACGTCAGCCCCGTGTTTAATTAATAGGTCAGTTATCTCATATGCATTCAGACCTCCTCCTACTGCTGAGTGAAGCGGTGTGCGCTTTTCATTATCCTGAGAGTTTGGATTACAGCCTCCTCTTTGTAGTAAAATGTCAACACATTCCACTGACTGAGCATACGCTGCTAAGTGTAATGCAGTTTGCCCCTTACAATTTCTTGCATCTGCATTCACACCATTATGTAACAGCAGTGAGATACATTCATTGAAGCCCCCTTCAGCTGCAAGGTGAAGGGCGGTGTTTCTTGTGTCTGTTGCGGCCAAATTTGGATCGTAACCACTGTCCAAAAGAATCTTCATACAGTGCAAGTGGCCCATCTCAGTAGCAATATGTAACGGTGAAGTTTCACCCATTTCTTTACAATTCATTTCAGCACCTTCCTCTAAAAGCAGCTGCAAACATTCAGTAGCATTTGCTTTCACTGCAGAACAAAGTGGCGAGCCATAGTAAGCTGTTTCTTTATTTTGGGCCTTCTTAGCAGTATTTATTATTGCACCATTGTCCAAAAGCAATTTTGCAACCCTGAAAGAATTATGAAAGCATGCAGTTTCAAGTGGTGTGTATTTACGAGGTGTGAAATTAACATCGACTCCACATGATATAAGAAATATAGTACAATCCACATTATCATTGAAGGCTGCAAGATGAAGGGCTGTAAAACCTTCTGTGGGTTCACTGAAGTGAATATCAACTCCAAATTTGTGCAGGATTTCAAGAAATTCAACTCTTTTGTTTAAAGCTGCCCATAGGAATATAATATTTCTTTCCATCGTGGAAATTGTGCTGAATATGTTTTCTGCACATTCAACTGTCATTTTCCCATTTTCAATGTCTTCCAAATAGTAAATACTGCCAGAACTTTTGGATTTCATAACATCCAAAATCCTCTGTTTCAGAGTGTGCTGGCATATTTTTGTATAGTAAGACGGAGAAGATACGCTCTCAACACTGTTTGATAGCTCTATGTCTTCTGCCAGCGCGGAGTGTTTTTGTTTAATACATTGATAAACGCCATCCTCATCAATCTCATCTTTCGGAGGAAAATCTCTTCTGTAGTTTCTCCACCAAGCTGTAATTATGGGCAATGAAAATCTGCTCCTAGCTTTGATCAGAATACTTTCAGAGTTTGCCTTCAGAGATTCAGCCGATTCCACATTTCTCTCCTCCTGAGAGTCTGCACAATTTCCATCATCATTCTTCTTCATTTTTAAATTTGTTCAGAACTGGTGCAGGTGGATCTGAAACAAAGATGTAAACTGGAGCATAACTATGAAGAATAACCTTAGTCATGAGGTTCAAATTTATTAACACTGTCCTTTGATAGAGTTACTTTTTGAAACAAAAAAGCTCTATGTTGCTGTCAATGCAGCCAATATTCTAGTAATGAAAAGACTGCATGGTTAAGTCAGCAATTGAATCATCTACGCTAGTCATTCACAGATATCAACAAATTAATCATGTCAAACTTATACAAAATTTTAATAGTGAAATTTCACATAATCATTGCTTCCCCATGGGGAGTCAGCCATAAATACAAATATGTAACGTGATATTGAGATTGACAGTAAGATAGGATTTACTGATTAATGGGTCTCAAGTTCACTCAACTGTACTGACTAGCAACACTGAACAAACCTAACCTATAATTTATATTTTATAATTTAACCTAAAATTTTCTTTCCTATATACCAGATGTAATGGTTGTACTATCAGTACTTTATTTCTATAATTACAGTCACATTTCTTCAATTTCAGAGGTAATATCTATATCACTATAACTCAAACAGCAGAATCTCATCTGCAACATTAGTGTATTACAAGCAATTTTATGCTGTAAATTCTGCCCCCCCCAAAAAAAAAAACATCATTGTCAAAAGAAGTAAGAAAGACTATGTAATAAATGGGTACTTTGTAAGAACCATCTGTGGGATGAGATGGATGTTGGGATGAATAATGAAGGTAGTGCAGGAAGTAGTTAAGCCCAGTTTCATGTACACATCTGAAGACTTTGTAGTGAATATAAACTCAGAAGGGACTACATTATATCATGAAAGTCAGTTTTGATTTCAATTTATAACCACAACAGAAACCACTGCTGCTGAGTTCAGTTCAATTCATTGTTGAATGATAGTTTTGGAGTTGTTTCATATGCATGTACATTGATGTATAATAGTTAATTTGTGAATGTAGAAGCAAATAAGTAAATCTGACAGTAAATTTACGTCTGACATAACCTATAATTTATTAGTGGTGCTATTCCATGTCAGAAATATAGGTTGTAATATCATTGCTTGGTCTTCTAATCCTTTTTTATGAAAATGTGTGTAATATATGAAGCATAAAGGCAGAGAAGCTTTAAAAGACACATACTGTCCCTTATATGTTGTATTGCTGTTTGAGTTCTAACAGTAAATTCTGGAAATAATTATGGTATTTAACTAACTGACTAGATGGCTTATAGAACCCAAATGTTCATCACCGAATTAACCAAAGCCCTCCACCGTTCCCTGTCCTGGGCCAACAAAATCTAGTTTCCTTCAACTCCTATCTCCCATAGATCCAGCTTGACATTATCCTCCCGTCTACGTCTAGGTCTCCTCAGTAGTCTCTTCCTTTGAGGCTTCCCGACCAACACCCAGTGCACACCTCTTGTCCCATCCATGCGTGCTACATGCCCAGCCCATCTCATTCGTCTCGACTTAATCACCCTGACAATACTGGGGGAGCAGTACAGATTTTTTAAGCTCGTCATTGTGCAGTTTTCTCCACGCCCCATCGTCTTCTCTCCTAGGCCCAAATATCCTCCTCAACACCCCGTTCTCAAACACCTGCAATCTGTGTTCCTCCCTCTGAGTGAGAGACCATGTTTCGCACCCACACAAAACAACAGGCAAAATTATTGTTTTGTATATTTTAATCCTCAAGTTCTTATAAATCAGACGGAAGCATTTCCAGAATTTAGTCTCCTCCTAACTTCCTCTTGAATATCATTTTGATTTGTTGTTGTTCCCAAAGATTAATTATAGTATTTTCTTTTATTAAATAGTCTTTGGTATTGTAGGGATCTAAGTTATCTTTGAATTTTCATTGTGCTGTATTGTTATTATAAACTCCATACATCGTGAAAACTGTCAATGGTCCACGTTAGAAGTGGAAAATTATAAAGTAACATATCATGCTAGAAAGTTTTCTTCCTCGAATTGGTCCACAAATCCGGCTAAGAAACTAAATTATGTAAGATTTCTCCCACAGCAGCCAACTGACTTTGGCATAGCGCAACGAACAGCAGTGTACACTACCCATTCCTTCACAAAATGCTTGAAATATCCTGCAGTTTTGTTGGTTATGATGTATTGAAATGTACAATTTTAACCTCAATTTCATTCACATACGTATTTCAGCACAAGAACCTGTCTGCGAATACTGCTTTGTGTCCAAAGGATGTTTAGAGAAACTTCTTTGTTTTATTTGTACTACAAATCTGTTATACTTCCCTGACATTGATGAGACTTCATCAGTACAGATGCTTATGTAGGTGATGACCCTTCGGGTTCCCTAAGCCATCTGGTCGGTTGGGTCCACTATTTGGGAAGCCTGAGGGGAGGAGACCTCTGGGGAGACCTAGACGTAGATGGGAGGATAATCTCAGGCGGGAACTATGGGAGATAGGAGTTGAAGGAGACTGGATTTTGTTGGCCCAGGACAGAGACCAGTGGAGGGCTTTGGTTAATTCAAAATTTACTACAGATATAATTTTAACACATTTTAATTAACCTAACTAGTTTAACTGACATACCGAATTTCTTTAGTTTTACATTCTGCCACCCTAATTGAATCACAGGTTTTCTTCAAGTTTGTTGATGTACAGTTCCATTATTCTAGCTTTTCTCTTCGGTATCTGACGATTGTAAAACACTTCTGAATAATCTTTCAGTCAATGGAAAATTGTGCCGACTGCAGTGAAAGAATTTACATAGGTTAAGTGATACATTTTAAATGTGTGTTAGATATCTTTGCTAAGATAACGTCTGGGGAGATTTCCTACAGCTGTTACGGGTCAACATTTAGCAGGAACTTCAGGCCACTTTAAATGCCTTGAGAGATATGGTTTTAACTCTGAATCCCTACGAGGCGAAGGATGTGACGTCACTTTCGCTACGAGAGACAAGATTAATTATGTAAAAGCCGTTCGTATAATGCTCTTCGCCCTGCCCAACACCGAATTCAATCATCAGTTGTTCCCATTACAAAATGCATGGCAGCTGTCTTAATATTCTAGATTGAAATAATTTTTTGAAAAATCTCACTCGTTACTCAGTTCTAGTTACGCTGTTGGCACAGAAGAAACGTTCTGATAAACTAGTGGCCCTGTGCGCATTGTTCGACGCCGGATTCCAGTAATTCGACATAGACGTCTAGCAGAATTCGGAAATAAGTTTTCATTTATGTAATGGATGGCTCGTTTGCTCCTGAAAACAACGCAGAGGCAATGAAGAAAATTGTGATTTGAAATTCACCGCACATATAGAATACGATAAATAAACATTTTACCAAGACAGATGAGCGCTGAGGACAGTGCTACAGACGCCGTTAATATCAGGGGGAAAACTAAATGACAAGAAAGTGTCCTTGGCTGTACAGCACAGTTGCAAAATCGTGGAGTTCGCACGTGCTAGTGACTCGTATTTTGCCTTGCGCGGACACAGCACCTCTCAGAAAACATTTTTGGCCGGTGGAATTTTCAAGGGGATGGCTAGGAGCGAGTCTCGGACAGAACACCCAAACAAAAGAAATACACTGACCGTGCCACACAGACTAGGCTCGGCCGCCAGCTCCGCTAGCTTCTCCACCGGCCAAAAACTAATGCGCCGACTATAGTTCCAGTGAACGACAATGGAAAGTAGCAATGCTGGTATGAAATTTAAGGGCTAGCGCGAACGAGCGGTTTTTCTGCCGCAGCGGTGAAACTACCGCAACCGCAAATTCTTGTTGGCTGTGCGCACGGACGGTGAAATAAACACATTGTCTGCGTTTAACCGGCCAAAAACTAATGCGCCGACTATAGTTCCAGTGAACGACAATGGAAAGTAGCAATGCTGGTATGAAATTTAAGGGCTAGCGCGAACGAGCGGTTTTTCTGCCGCAGCGGTGAAACTACCGCAACCGCAAATTCTTGTTGGCTGTGCGCACGGACGGTGAAATAAACACATTGTCTGCGTTTAACTTTCAGTTGGGAGCTCGATTTTGTGGAGACAGTTACCGTGTGCTCTAGGCTGATAAGTCGAGGTATGGATTATGCTGTGACTCGCTGTGTGCTCTTTTTGCTAAGAACAAGGGCAAAGCGTAGAAATAAATTTTGATTCCCTCCACTTGTAAGTCAAAGATTGTTGAAAGCCCAATTTCAAAGCTTATTTGAGGACCTGCGTATGTAACCTAAGAAATTATAATTTATTTTCTTGTAAAGTTTACTCGAGTTTGTGAGTAGAGTTTCACAGACTTCTATCCGCAGTTTCTCTTTAGTTTTGTCAATGAACTCCGATATGGCCGAACTGTACAGTGCCCGCCTTTTCTCCTGTTCAGTTACACCATGGTCGAACAAACAATGGTCGCCCTGCGGCTGTTCCACCGCACCGCATCGAAAATTAAGCAGAAAAACCGCAGCGGTAAAACTACCGCACGTGCGCTCGCTTCGTACTGAAACAGTGCGTTCCATCAATGCGGTAGAAACACCGCTGCGGCCCGAATCGCTCGTGCGTGCAGGGTCTTAATGTCAATGACGTTGTGAAAACAGCCCGAAGTATACACGTGAAGAAAATCGAAAAAGATAAAATGGAACCGTTAGTTGATTAAATGTCTGAACAGTTTATATTTAATTAACCTAGAAATAGGTTTTTATAACAGCTTTGGTGACACCGCGTCAACCAGCGATGAACAAATGAGAGTAGTAGATCCTCACTCTTTTTCGCAGGCGTACCACTAATTCTAATTCAAGACGTTAAATGTACCACTAACCAAACCAGTATCGATTTTCGTCTGGTACAAGAAATTCCAATCATAACTACTACAGCTTACATCACTAGGGACGAGTCGATTTATCGTATCGAAATCTGCCGTGTGACTCGCGGAGTTGTAACCGATCGTCAACTCTTTTACTGGTGTTTGCTGAAACCCAACTTCTGTGTACTAGGTCATAAGGTTTTGTATTAGCCAAGTATTGTCAATTTTGTTAGGTTAGGTTATTCATTTGCATTTCCTTTATATTTTTGCATATTGTAAGCTTGGGATCGGAAGTGGAAAGCCGATTCTAAGTGGTATAGCGGGACGTGAAGTACGTGGGAACGGAGAGGCCTTGGAAATTCCCTTGTACACGAGTTACCTGCTCTTAACCTAAGTGGGTTTTGCCGCGCATTAGCGATGTGGGAGAGACATCCTGAGGATCTGTGGGACTGAGCAGGTTCTTCGAACCGAATCTGGACCCACAACAATGGGAGTTGATGTTACGTTTTCTTTTGGGCAAAGCTGGAAATTGTGATTGTCCAACCGTAGGGGTGCTAACGGTATAAAAAGGGGTTATTTCGGCCCCAAAACGCATTAGAGTAGAAAGAAATGAGGTGATTGAGAAGTTAGCGAGTGAGAAAGGAGACCGATTTGGGAGCTGCAGAGATGGCGGTGCATTTGAGAGAAGTGTGAAATTTAGCAAATTGTAAAAAATCTAGAATTGGACTGCGTGATGTGGGATCAGCATATGTAGATCAACAATCCCTACCAGCCACATCGTAGCGGAAGCTGCGATCTGCCCGGACCGGCTACAGGGTGTTTACAAAACTGGTGTGGATATGAAATTTTAAGTACTTCGAATTTGATTTCTTTACCATTTTCTAAGCGTAAGAGTTTCCTGTGTTCATTCTTTATGATATAGAATATTAATCTTGTGAGCTTACACTTTTATGGGACGCCTGTTTTTATAATAGTTTGGCATCACAAAATCAATGCTATAACTAATCGGAGAACCGAGTTTGTTAAAAAAAACTGACTCAGATAAGATTGGCATAAAATTCTTTATCATAAGTTGCGTTGGATATTTCCTGAACAAGCACTACAATATTACTTTCTGTTCGTCATCATCGCCTCTCTTGTGGGAAATTGCCAATTATATTCACTGTTAAGGAGAAGAAACACATTGGAAAATGAACTCATCTCAAAAGTGTTTGTTTAGAGATGTCGGGTGCAGTTCGGAAATTGCTGTGATTCCTTCAACTATAAGTATGCTTACAAATTAGTGGGTATAATTTATTACAGCAGGTCACAGAATACATCACTCTTGTTGATTAGACCTATAACACTACTCTGTAACGATGTTTTCTTACAAGACACTAAACTAGCACCCACAACGACATTTGTGTCCTTCCACCTGTTGCAACGAACAACCTAAATCCACTTGCATTTAGCTTTTTTCTAGTTTCAGACGTGATCTTTGCTGAAGTAGCCAGTTTCTGTTTTACTCCTACACTTTGTACACACATCAAATGCTTTATAGTCGGCGTAGTGGTTTTTGGCCGGTGGAATTTTCAAGGGGAAGGCTAGGAGCGAGTCTCGGACTGAACGCCCAAACAAAAGAAATACACTGACCGCGCCACACAGACTAGGATCGGCCGCCAGCTCCGCTAGCTTCTCCACCGGCCAAACACTAATGCGCCGATATACAAACAAGAATGGCTTATGTACAAACCTAACTGCAACAACGATTTAAAATATGGAAAGAACACCGTCGCTCTGTCTGAACCCTTCATTCTCGGCACACATTTCATATCGTAACCTGACCTCTTCAACCGGAAACATCACGAATCGTATTTTCAGAGCCAACGATGCGTTTCTGAATCGGCTGTCTCTTTATAAATTTACATTCAGTAGACATTCCGAATTTCGTGTTATTTGTTATATATTAAAGACGCTGTTATTAGACCAATGAGAATGATAGGGCGCTTAATGAATAGGAAAAACTGAGTTGGAAAGGCACGGGTCTTAACTGAATTTGGTTCTACGGTATAATAAAATCCACAAAACAAAATCTTACACAGGAAAGCCGATCTCCGGGCTGAGATTTTAAGTTATTACGTTATATAAAAAGAAAATTTATCTTACAATTAGACTCTTGAGGCTCAAGACTGACGACTAGTTGCCATGGACACAAACCTGTTTACAGAAAAGTCGTGGTTTTAACGTGAACTTTGAAGCACTCTCGCATCACGGTAAAACATTAACCCAAAAGACAGCTCTTGTCTTACAGAAATACTTCTAAAGACTGCAAGGACTTTGGTTGGATTCCTTGAGAGAAGAAACCAGCGTAACAGGTTATTAAGCTGCAGGATGGTGTTTTATTTTCCGTCCCAGCCGTGTAGTTTACCTCCAAGAGAGAGAGAGAGAGAGAGAGAGAGAGAGAGAGAGAGAGAGAGAGAGAGAGAGAGAGAGAGAGAGAGAGAGAGAGAGAGAGAGAGAGAGAGAGAGAGAGAGAGAGAGAGAGAGAGAGAGAGAGAGAGAGAGAGAGAGAGAGAGAGAGAGAGAGAGAGAGAGAGAGAGAGAGAGAGAGAGAGAGAGAGAGAGAGAGAGAGAGAGAGAGAGAGAGAGAGAGAGAGAGAGAGAGAGAGAGAGAGAGAGAGAGAATTACAAATTACGCAATTCTTGTCTGAATATACCAAGCGGAACAGATACAGCGAGTCATCAGTTCTTCATGACAGGAATTTGAAAGTACGAACGGACATGACTTGCACGTGCGTGTTTTGCAAATACTGCACAAAACTCTATCGTAAGGGAATATGGGATTTAAACCCTCCTTGCCCTCAGGAATTTAACATTTCTTTATCTGCGCCCTATGTATTTAAGTATGTACGAGTTCTCAATCTTCGTTCGTTTGTTTACAAGAGAAGTATATAAAGATTAAAATACAAAAAAAAACCCTATAATTTTGCCTGTTGTTTTGTATGGGTGTGCAACGTGGTCTCTCACGTAAAGGGAATAATACATATTGAGGATATTTGTGAACACGTTGCTTAGGAGAACATTTGAATCGTGGGGGGATGAGGTCACGAGAGGATGCAGAAAACTGGAATGAGGAGGTTCATAATTCTTAGAAAAATTGGGTTTGGGACGGGTGGCGGTTCTCCTGAACTCGGTGTAGAACCTTCCGATTCCACAAACTTCGGGTAATCTATTCACTATCTGAGCGTCCTAATTGCTTCTCAAATGATTCTGTTCCGTGGATTCATTTAAACGCCACTGGTTATTCGCGACCGTCAAAATTCTTAAGAATATTTTAAGTTATTTTCTGAAATGTAAAATTTATTCTTGGATCCGGGATAGCTCAGGTAGAATAGTCATTGAACGTGGCTTGGACGACCTGGACAGAGGATTTTTCCTCTAGTCTCTGGGGTCCACCCAGCCTCTTATCCAATGGGTACCAACGTCATTTCCCGGGGGCTAACCGCGGCCGGGGCGTGATGCTGACCACTCACCCCTATCTACGAGTAGTATCCAGATTAAGACTGAGTGGGAGTTATAATCCTCTTCCCCCAAGTGCCTACATGGCGTGTAGAGAGACATATTTACTTTTTGTAATGCTAATTCTTCCGTGACTCGATTACCAGAGCCTCGTTTGGGGGAAAGAACGGTGAAACTCGCAAATACGAGGATGGCATTAGATTGTGTTGTGTATTTATTTATTTATTTAGTGTTCTGTCTGACGACAGGTCCATATGAACAGGATCCTTCCATCTTTTTCTCGGACTGGGACCTGTTCATATACGTTCTTGGCAGATGATCCAGAAGTGGTTTGCCATTGCCTTCTTCTGTGTGTGAATGGAGTAATTGTTGGGATGCCACGAAGGAAAACTCCGTGTTGCGTAGACCACGGCCTTGCCCAACACAAGTTATAAATTCGGGCACCGCCGGGAATCGAACCCGAGACCCCAGGATTACAAGGCCAGCGCTCTAACCGCTAGACCACCGTGACCATCAAGGTAAGTACCTCGCGATATTCGATCTTGGAACCTCCCACAAGCAGAGATGCGTAGAATCAACGGCTTAGCTTCGATACTTAGCAAAAGCGACAGGCAAACGAAAACTTCGGTTTCGAAATAACAGGATTAGGAACAAAATGGACGTCCACACATGAGATTTGTGCACACCCGAGTTAACCCCTAGACAAAGTAGGATTGTAAAACTGGGAGTGGGGGCCAAAACTGAATTAAAAGGGGAATGCGTTAAAAACAGAATATAATAAAATTCTAAAACAGCAAGAGAAAAATAAATGAAAGGAATAAATGAGAGTTCGCTTTGGCGGCTTTAAAATATAGTGCCAACAATACTTGGTATCGTATACAAAGTAAAATTCTAAAATTCTGATGCAAAATTTCTTAAAGTGCGTTTTTTGAAAGCTTAGAACAATAAAAATGTTCATCCACCATCGTATTACACTTGTTATCATGTAAACTAAGTCTGTAATTATAAATGCAGAGTTTTTATTCATGTTAATGAACAATATTCTTTTTCGGATTTTAATTGCTACAGGGGAAGGGGGCAAGGCCACAAAGTTCGCCTTGGGCATCAAATACTCTCTCGTGAAAACCGATCGTCAGGTCAGGCAGTAGCCACGACCTGTCATTATGCGTTCACTTTATGAACTTCGCGCAAGACGGCAGCAGGAAGTTGGACAACGCTTTCGATGGCACAAACCTCTATTAAAGTTTTTGTGAAACGCATGACACGTGAATTCAATTTCTACTTTCTCTCAAGCGAGTACTTTATATGCAAATGCATTTACGTGCTTTACACAAATGCGGGCTTTAAAACGAATCAAAGTCAATTTCTCACTAAACTGCCCTCGATTTTGACACTACACATTCAAGACTACAGAATGAGTCAAAAGTATGTTTACAAACTTTGTGTGCGTGTTCCAGGATCAAAAATTAGAAACAAAATGTTTCTATGAACAAATGTTTCATTTTCGAAATAATAGCCAAAAATAATTTTCAATGAATTGACTTTACATCAAAGTGAATCCAGCTTCCAGCAAATATTTTCAATTAACGTTTCGGCAGGAATTGTTGACGACGAGCTCATTGGTCCACACATGCTTCGATCGCGTCTAAGAGGACCTTCATATCGGCGATTCTTAAGAAGACACTTGTCACGTCTCCTTGAAGATGTGCCACTGAATACAAGAAGACAAATGTGGTTTATGCACGACAGAGCCCCAGCTGACTTCTCCCATCGCGTCAGATATCATCTCAATGAAAAGTACCCTCAGCGATGGATTGGGCGTGGTGGCCCAGTAGCATGGCCACCGAGGTCACCGGACCTGACTCCATCGGACTTTTATCTGTGGGGTCACTTGAAGTCCGTCGCTTATGCAACATAAACATTGAAGACGACTCGTGGGAACGTTTACTGAATGCGTGCCAGATGATTCGAGGAAACCCTGGAGTGTACGAACGAATTCGTCAGTCGTGTGTACGTCGTGCTCGTACATGTGTGGAGAATGGAGGAACAACCTTTGAGAATCTGTTATAAATAAACATCCCTGTCCTTATATTTGGCAATAAAGGCGTACATTGAAACTTATTTTTGGTTATTATTTTGAAAGTTTGCGACCACATGTTCATAGGAACATTTTTTTTCTCATGTTTTTGATCCAGGAACACGCACACGAAGTTTGTAAACATACTTATGTCTCACCCTGTGAGAATAACACAAGAACGCCACCGCCTAAGATAGTAACCTTAACCTTACTTACGTAAAACACAGTAAAAAGGTTGATTTGTACGTGTACTGAATCCCAGTGGCATTTCTTACGTGGCCTGAAATTTTAGGTTGCGTGCGAGAATCACTGCTCCTGAAGTGACACTCGATCACGCACAGCCTCTTACTTGGATCTTTCCTGTCTGCGATGCTAATCTTGCCACAGCAAAATTTCATAGTCAGGTCGTTTTACAAAATGGGCCTCTAATGTGGGTTGCAGTGCCTGTCTTAACGTTTCATTTCGGAAACTAAAAAGAATTCAATTAAATTTGGTGTTGTGAGTGAACACTAAAAGTTGGCGAGAGAATTTTAATTTTGGCTCGTATCTGTCAAATATGACTCAGACTTTGCATAAATAAATCTGCCGATTTCCTCAACAAGAGCTCATCCTTCAAAAGATCTGCACATGATATATACACCTAGAAAGATATGGAAAGTTGAAGATTTCCTTCGTCCTGAAATGAAGATGAAATAGAAATTGTACTCGAAACAAGACAGTTTTCTGAAAGGTAAATATTTAATAGAACAGAATACAAAATGTTACCCCATACAGCTTTGCAGTGGACTAATGTTTATTGGCGTCACTGTTAAACCATGAACTGAGTTCCTTCGCTGATGCGTTTTTGCAACGTGCATTCAGGGGTATTACATGCGTCTTGTCCGGCGAAATAAACTTAAAAGTTTTGAAAATTTAAAAACTACGTCCTCTAAATTTTCGAAATTTGTAAACACCCACAATTTCATATTTTTCAAAATTTAAAAATTCAAGAATAAATAATTTCATAATTCCCATAAACGTTCGACACCCCAACATTTAAAATTCGAATTTAAACATCTATCTCAACTTATATTTCCTTAACCGAAACTTAACATAACCGAAACTAATGTTTCCTAACTTGTTCTAACCTAACCTGTCCCAACAAAATCAATCTTAACATACATAATGCAATCACGGAAAACATTCAAAGAACGCATAACAGTAGTCGCCAATGGAAATAATTGTAAACAAACAAATTCTCACAAGGGCATAGAGATACTGGTGACCTTTGGGTTCAGTGTTCTACCAAGTCTAACACATTCATCAGAGTAAGTCGTTTGACAAGATGGAGGATCCACTGGCAGTTGCACAGTGGAAGACGAGAGAGCCACCGCGTCGCTGCCGATTCCCTAATGATAATGTGGCATGGTGTCCACAAGTTGGTGCGTACTGTCTCGAAGAGGTTTACTGCATCCATCAGACATTTTGAAGACGCAGTGGTGCACAAACCTCAATGGGAAGGACATGAAGTGTGATTATGCAGCTGTCATCTCAACCTGTATTTCAAGCGAGTTCTGATCACTTCTGAATGACCTTCCTATCCAATGTAGTGCATCCCAAAATCTGTATTTTTTCCTATTTACCACATTTAAAAACTGGCACTTTGCAGCTCAACTCACCACCATGTGCAAGTGGCACCAACGTCAACAATCTTCTTACTCTTAACAGAAAGCAGCTTGCTTGTTTGCACCTGTTTTGTCAGCGGATAGCATAACTTGTGGGCTTTTATGCAAATTTTAAACAATGAAGATGGTATCACCCCAGATTTTAGAGGTTTTCCTGTTCCTCATGAAGAGAAAACTGTGAATTGCAGATAAAGCACACCTAAACATGTAAGTTTTATTATTCTGTCCAAATTAAAATTCTTCTTAGTAAAGATCAAAAACTCACAAAATCCTAAAATCCAAAAAGCCTTTAGTTCCAGGCTTTCTGAATAAGAGGTCTGGTATCGTACATGTACACAAAAATAAACAATATGATTCAGTTTCAAAGCTGGTACTAGGACCACCCAACCTATGTAACGGTTACCACCCAGGGTTCTTTCCTTGGAAATAAGGCATGGAACTTAGTTAAGCACCAACATCATCATAAGCAAAGAACACCTAATGGGGAGAATGTTTGTCGTCTTTTCTTTCAGCCAAAGAGTGTACCGCAATCTATCAGATGCCATATGAACTATTCATAGCATCACTTATCAGTGATCATGAGAACTGATGATTATTAACACCTTAAGTCGGCTAAGCGCACATATGAAAGGTTAACATCCGTCCGATGCGGAGTGTGCGCGTATGTTCACTTCAGAAAAAATACTGTTTCTTAGTGGGCTAAGCTCATATATGCGCACTATTTCTGTTATGCCTCAGTCGAGTGTTCTGCCACCTAGCGACATTTTTTTAACTCAGTGGTGCTGCCCCAAGAAGTTGTATGTGCGCTTAGACCGAGATTTGGATGGCAGGGGTGACATAGACAACCATGCAAGACAGAACAGTAGTTTTTGGCGTAATGATTTTCTCCAAACTAATTTGATGAAAATGAAAATTATTTCTTGAATTATGTGAACAGTAGGTACTGCAAGACGTTAAAAAGAATTTATCGTGAATTACTTCACTACATCCAATAGATAATAGCAGCGGAAAACAAATGATAACTGTTTAAAAAATGTGGTGAAATTTAGTAAAATATCTACAAAAATTAAACAACATGAAAATTTTGATTTCCATGCCTAATAAATATGTACTGTCCATAACATATATAAAAAATTCACCATTATTTTTAATACAATAAAAAATCCCACATGGTTATGCAATGGCATAAATTTTGCCCCCACTAAGAGGTTAAGGACGATCTGAACCTCAAATATGTGACACGAGAGGATCACCTCCATAGTGATATTATTATCCATGATCCTCTGCACTGAAGTCACTGCCAAAAGAGCATGTTACAATCTATCAGAAGCCTGATATCACTTCCTGTGTGTCATAAAGAATACCTTTCCAATTTTGTTACGTTTACGTTACTTTCCTCACATAAACACCAAACTAAAATTTGAAGACGACTGTCTTCTGGGATCTAGCGCTGTGTGTTCTCAAACTCAAATTTCACACCTTCTTCCAAAACCCAGTCTCTCCCTCTATCAGCAAGATATGTACATTTTCTCCTCTACCTCTGAATATAGTTACCAAAGTGCTCGCTGCAACTGTCTTTGTCTTCCACATGTTCCCATTCACAGTTTTCTGTAACACCAGCTCTTCTTACTATAGTCTATTCATATGCAGGGTACAGTACCTCAGTACGCAAAATGCCCAAGACATCCACTTCGTTGAAAATTATATTCCAGCTATTCAAACAAATTCCACTGATTTATTGTTAACATCATTCATTAGTACTGCCAGATGCACTTCCGGCTTTAAAAAAAATGGTATCCGACATACCAGGAGTTCAATTTCATTTGCATCACAGGAACTATGCACATGGAACACAAGAAAAAACAAAAACATTCACTTTTGATCGCTGTCCTAGAACAAATTCTTGCATTAAACTTGTAAGTTTCTAAAACTCACATTCTCATATCACTACTAGTTTTAAATTACAGTCACTGAGGCATTTTTCACTTGCACCAAAAAAGAACTACAAAATAATATTAATATTTATTTACTTATGCATAACCAGTGATAGCAAATTATTCTTGCATACTACAAAATTCAATAGAAAATACAGAAGGAAAAATAGTACACATTATATTGTCTCATTTCAAGAAATTCATTGTTGATCGCACTTACAAAATAATACTACGCTACACATATAATACACAGTTTGAGATATAATTCTCAAAGTACATTAAGAACCACACTACAAGTCCAATCAAACTCGAACATACAACGTGGGTGCAAAAAGCCGAGAAGGCAAATACAAAACTCTATATGTTCAAGTTTAAAGAGAGAGAGAGAGAGAGAGACAGACAGACAGAGAGAATAAACAGAACTACAGCCTTTTGAAAACAAATAAATCTTATGATCAAGAAATTAAATTTCTTCTACACGTTTTCTACAGGCTTCATGGTATAGGTGGATATATATCATTAAGTAATGCAAACAAAGATATGTAACATTATTTCAATTCCATTTAATTCTTCAATGATCAAAACATTCTATACAAGAGAAGGGATGATATTACTACATAGTCCCTCAATATTGCATGGCGTTCTTCTACACACTTTACTTGAAGCTAACACAAAATACCACAGCACACAAATGAATGTGGCAGAGGGTTACCGGAAAAGTAATTCCTTGTAACCAACAGAATGACAACACAAACAGCTATGAAGTAGAGTGTGACCTACAAAAGTTTAATCCATCAAGAGTTTACATTTATTGCGAGCTCTACTTCCGAATGATGTTGGGTTCCCTTTAGTTTGGATATAGTTTGTGTAAATAATACATTGCAGATTAAAATATTTTCAAAGATAAAAGATCTTGGTATGCACAAAAATATTTAATCATCAATGTTTTGATTTACACAAATTATGAAACACCTTGCACTGTTTTATGGTATCATTCACAAAGCACCTGCAAATATAACCCTGCCCCTCCCCACCTACCCAACCTGCCTTTCTCTGCTCAATTGGGGGTCCAGTAAGAGGGACTATAACCCTGCTTGGCACCCGACTTATTTGGCTGAGCTGACGATTGGGAGCGCTGGTTTGAGCTACTGCCAGATTCCTGAACACAAAACAGAACAAAATTAACAAACTGTTATGAGGTGCATTCACAGAATTCAAGATGGCATCAAGAACAATGTACGTGACTTACCGAACGTCTTCCAGGGTTTCTCATCTCCATCTAAAAATGGAAGAGAGAATAAGATTTATAGTAACTCAAAGACAATGTTCAGCCTGCAACATATACATCAACTTGCCAAAAACGTAAACAAGTGTTATACAATGTAAGGACATTTCTAAACACTGCCCACTGTCTGGAATGATAATCGTGTCTACGATTTTGGACTCCGTCTCTGTCTTCTGACAATGAACTAGAATGAAGAGGAAGTTCCTATTTAGTGTGGCCCATTAAACCATTCATGTCTAACAACCCCCCCCCCCCCAAGCTACACCATCACCAGGGGTCTTGTTCACTTGTACTACCTGCACTGACCCTGCAATTTAAACAGATACTGAAGATTTCTGTCTTCTGGGTTGTTGCGCTGCGTAGTCTGGTCGATGTTATTCAACGTTTCAGAGGTCATACTGCCTCCGTCATCAGGGCGGTGAGTATGCCAATTGGGTGAGTGTGGCTAGGTTTATAGGAGCCGGACCGTGGATGGAGGGCAGGCAGACGATGGAAAATATCCAAGAAAATTTTTATTCAAATGACTCACCATCATCATGAACTTTTAGATTTTTTTTAGAAAATATGTAACTGGTGAACATTTCGGTAGGCTCTCACAAGAATGTTACCTTGTATTGCTTGAAGACAGCCATCTTTAGACTCACCGCAATGAAAACCTCAAATCCTACATTTAATTACTTGGTTTGGAGAAGCTGAAAGATTTTTTTATTTCAAAATAGTGAACAGGAACTTTAGGTTAAGTGGCAAATGTTTTCAGCTCAGGTCAACCCTAAGTATGAAAACACAGGCAGCTGCACGTACTTACCGTCGTATCACGTATGTTTCTGAAGACACTGTTCCTACTGGACTGAAGAGGAAATTCAAAGATATCACATGTTTGACATTTCTCATACGCTAAAATTTGGAGCATGTAAGCTACTCACAGTTGGAATGTGGAATGTGCCCTTCCTTCTCCTAGTCTACAGAAATGCAGAGAGTGTGGGTTAAAGGGTAACTTTACTGACAACCATCTATAAAAAAGCTTTAGAAGCAAAACTGTGAGTACAGTCAGCACGAAAACCTATGGAAAAAGTTTCGGCTACTTAGGAACCTCTCATTATGAGAAGGATGATGGAAACGAGCCCTTATTTTATGCAACATCAATATGCAGACATAAAGATGCAGCAGAAGATAGTCAAAGGGTTAATTCTGGTCAATTCTTACAAAAACAGAACTGATCCTATTATATACAACAGCATCTGTACAATCTCAGCTTAAATATGGTAATATTACCTGATGCAGCGGTTGATGGATGAGGGGGGTAGAGTGGTGTTGTTGTGGCGCCATGGCAGGAATAAACAGATGTGGGGCATAAGCACCACTGGGCCCCATCGGTGTGCTCTGGCTGCCTGGTAAGTTGAATGGGGGTGGTGTCCCTGAATGGAAACCCTGCTTCTCATACGACTGAAAATCAAATCCAGAACACTTCCAGTAAGTAACAGCTGAGAAAACAAGGAAAACTTACAATTAATTCATGTATCTCAGATAACTGTAAATGTGTGATTAGTGCTCTAGGCATAAGTTGATATAATTGCGTCATATTGTGAATTAAAATAACCACTATCACTTCAAAATATACCCTCACTCCAATGAATTTGGATGTAAACATCATCAGAAGTTACACAACAACAGTAATTAAGTTTTAGTTTATAAGATTATAATTTTTAACTTTTAACTTTACACCTGAAGATGGTTCAATGTAACCGAAACATGTAGTAAAAAAATGTACCAAATATGTAAATGATATTTTAATATCTTATGTATAATTTTATTTATATACAATTGTGATTAGACGGAAAAAAACAAAACACGAATGCTCTAGGCAGTATGTATTGCACAAGCAGATTATTTTCGTAGTCATACAAGGCAGTGTCGCGCAACCTTTCAACACACTCGGCATACTTATTATTGTCGAAGAGTTATGGTGACACACCTACCCCATTCTGTATATTGTGGGGATGGGGGAGATGGTTTATGGCATTGATTGGCCGCAACAACTTCTTACAAATCGGCCTCAACCGAAAAATGTTCTATTTGATGTTCATAATTATCCATCTTTATTATGCATATGGAATATTTTTATGGAATATGAGACCGTCATTTACAAACAGTAGATGTGAGTAGAGAAAATATTAGATTAAAAAAAAACACTAGACACCAATAATTATCTAATTATGAAAATCTATAATCCATTTAAAAGTGTAGGTACGTGTGTTTTCCTGCAAAGTGGATGTGTTACTTTCCAATTCCATTCTTGTCTGCCCGACCTTAATGAAGAAAATGAAAACTGAGACAGAGCAGAAAATAAAACAATTATTTATCTCATTATGGTTATAATTATAACACGAGGTGAAAATTTCGCGGCACACCCAGATGGCCTCCGCGGCATACCAGTTGCGCATCACTCATATAATGGATGAATGGGAAGGAGGGTCACAACAAAAGAAGGTTGTTTATACAAGTGTGGTAGGAAACAGTTGTTGCACTATGATCCTTCGACCACTTGCTCGTAGCCTGTGTATGGTGACACATGTCAGCAATGGCAAACACCCAAAAATAAGAAATTCTGATTTACTGCCAGCCCTGCTTTAACACTAAAGGTGGCGACTGACTTGTAACATTTGCCTGTAATGTAATGTGTTACAAATCGAGCATTACACAAGTGAAGACAGCGAACGGAGCCGCTCGATGCGAGCCGCTCACGCTCGCGGGCGCTCCATCGTGTTGTCGGTTTTTTCGCGAATCCCTTTGAGTGTTACATTACAAGTCAGTCAGTCAGTCTAGCGGCGTCGTAACGAGCATTCACGAGTTCTTTAGATAACAGTAGCGTATTAAATGAAACAAAGATAACACAACCTCCACGTCCGACATATTGAATGAAATGAATGGAGCACACACGAGCACAGTCGAGCCGAGCGTTCAAAACGAGCATTCGATGCGCCTCACCAGTTGTGGTGTAATGTAACATGCTCGCCGCGAATGTTACATTACGAGTAAATGTTACAAGTCAGTCGCCACCTTAATACTAGTGATAAACAAAGTGTGGCATTCTAATGGGGTACGAATGTATCTGATGGTTGGTACACAATCCAAAAGAAACTTTGTAGTGTCAAAACACATTCATATTATGTAAATGCTTGCTTGTAAATCAAACTCATTATTACTACTGGAAAAGACATGCAGGACTGTTGTGATGTTTATGCAATGAATGACTGGAATTATTTGTTAAAAATTATATGATCAGTTACGCCTAGCTTATTATATAAGGATAGCATTCCATTGTTTTGCTATCTCAATATAAAACTAAAACACACATTTATTAAACATAGGATGCACAAAATAAAGTCTCTTCTCTCAACTTTATTATCTGTGCATTGCAGTTTGCATACAGTCCATCTGACCATCTCACAGGAGCATATTGCTACACCATTGCCACCAGAGATAAAGTTCGGCCAGCAGCCCTACAGGTACAAATCCCCTTTTCCCATACAGTAAAGGTTAACAACAATCTCATCTTCACGCGGCACATCTTTTGAACAAACGAGAGCCTCCGGTAACTGACTCATGGAATCATTTTAGAAAACAAGTCATGGCACAGCAGCAGTGAAAAGGAAATTTCACTACCATGCTTTCACACAGGAAGTTCAGTTCTTGAAATCTGTAATTTTCATTAGATTCTTGTGTACTGTATTTAGTCGTGCATAACGTGCAGCTTTTTCAAATATATTTATCCATTCTTAAAATTTGGGTGCAGGTAATAAACAAATCAGTGCGTGTCACCAACAAACCAACAAATATGCCATCATCGACTGACTTAAAATATGAGTCGACCTGGGTCAGTCTCATTACAAAATACCACCTGTAACAATAAAAGCTAACTCACCTGCCCAATTTTCAGACCTCTCAAGCCTATATTTTATTTATTTTGAAGCATGTTATACATACTTCAAAATAAATAAAATATAAGAATACCTGAATATTTTATTCATAGCTTTCAAAACAAAAAATTAATGGTGTATGTTATACACTACTAAATATGGTATTATCAGAACAGCTGAATCAACTTGAAATCAACCAATGCCACGTCGAATACATGGCGAAAATCGTGAGACCTTCGTTGTGTTAAAATGTTAGTTGAGAAGACCTCACTAATATTATATAGTTCACATCATACAGACACATTTTACTGCAAAACGGAAATAAGTACTCACATTCACCTTGCCCAGAGTAACATGGGATTTTCCATACATGGTTGCACTGAGATCAGTTGCAGAAGAACCAGCTGTGCCAGCATTTGCCCCCACTCCAGCCTTGCTCTGAGACTGGCTATTTGACACATAGCCAGTTTTGCCATAGTCTTGGTTCTGCACGAGACCATCGTAACCCGAACCGTACCCAGATCCATAGCTTCCAGGCTTTGGATACTGAGTAGTACTTGTGCTGCCATGAGTGTTCGTAGCTGGTGGCATCTGAAAAACACGTTGAAAAGGCATTCTTTTAAGTAATTTACAGGAAGTACTACAACCTTTATAGGATAGCATTTTGTGTACCCCAGCTCTGGCATGGTGGCATTCATGTGACAGCCAACCTAGTCTCTCTGCTGCACTGAATTTGTAAGAATCGAGGCTCGACACATACATACGTACCCAGAAATTAAAAGTTTCTGTGTCAATACACTGATTATTACCTCCTGAAACATTTAATCTGTATTACGAAAACACAACATTACAATGTAGCAGGCAGTTGGTCCTCTCACTTCACGTTCAGGACATCCAAAGTCAGAATATGAACATTATAACTATTCTGAGGTTCCTGGGGTTTTCTTTCTGATTTCTCTCAGTTATGTATGATCTGACGCTTTTACAGTGACTAAGTATAATGAATTCTTCTCAGGCTACCAGCTGTGTAAGGTGGCTTACTGAAGAAAACAGCACAAAGATGGTTCTCAAAACATTGGTGTTTTCTTTAATAAACCAACTTACACGGCTGGTAGCCCAAGAAGAATTCATTATATTTCTCAGTTACTTTGAGAAAATGCCAATACTACAGATGCTTTACAAGAATGTAAACTGAAATGTAAGTACATATATTTATTTTCACAGTCTATACACAAACTTATTTAAAATGATGTTAAAATATTACAACATTTATAGTATAAAGTACATCATCATTTTAAATAAGTTTGAGTATAGACTGTGAAAATAAATATATGTACTTACATTTCAGTTTACATTCTTGTAAAGCATCTGTAGTATTGGCATTTTCTCAAAGTAACTGAGAAATATAATGAATTCTTCTTGGGCTACCAGCCGTGTAAGTTGGTTTATTAAAGAAAACACCAATGTTTTGAGAACCATCTTTGTGCTGTTTTCTTCAGTAAGCCACCTTACACAGCTGGTAGCCTGAGAAGAATTCATTATACTTAGTCACTGTAAAAGCGTCAGATCATACATAACTGAGAGAAATCAGAAAGAAAACCCCAGGAACCTCAGAATAGTTATAATGTTCATATTCTGACTTTGGATGTCCTGAACGTGAAGTGAGAGGACCAACTGCCTGCTACATTGTAATGTTGTGTTTTCGTAATACAGATTAAATGTTTCAGGAGGTAATAATCAGTGTATTGACACAGAAACTTTTAATTTCTGGGTACGTATGTATGTGTCGAGCCTCGATTCTTACAAATTCAGTGCAGCAGAGAGACTAGGTTGGCTGTCACATGAATGCCACCATGCCAGAGCTGGGGTACACAAAATGCTATCCTATAAAGGTTGTAGTACTTCCTGTAAATTACTTAAAAGAATGCCTTTTCAACGTGTTTTTCAGATGCCACCAGCTACGAACACTCATGGCAGCACAAGTACTACTCAGTATCCAAAGCCTGGAAGCTATGGATCTGGGTACGGTTCGGGTTACGATGGTCTCGTGCAGAACCAAGACTATGGCAAAACTGGCTATGTGTCAAATAGCCAGTCTCAGAGCAAGGCTGGAGTGGGGGCAAATGCTGGCACAGCTGGTTCTTCTGCAACTGATCTCAGTGCAACCATGTATGGAAAATCCCATGTTACTCTGGGCAAGGTGAATGTGAGTACTTATTTCCGTTTTGCAGTAAAATGTGTCTGTATGATGTGAACTATAATATTAGTGAGGTCTTCTCAACTAACATTTTAACACAACGAAGGTCTCACGATTTTCGCCATGTATTCGACGTGGCATTGGTTGATTTCAAGTTGATTCAGCTGTTCTGATAATACCATATTTAGTAGTGTATAACATACACCATTAATTTTTTGTTTTGAAAGCTATGAATAAAATATTCAGGTATTCTTATATTTTATTTATTTTGAAGTATGTATAACATGCTTCAAAATAAATAAAATATAGGCTTGAGAGGTCTGAAAATTGGGCAGGTGAGTTAGCTTTTATTGTTACAGGTGGTATTTTGTAATGAGACTGACCCAGGTCGACTCATATTTTAAGTCAGTCGATGATGGCATATTTGTTGGTTTGTTGGTGACACGCACTGATTTGTTTATTACCTGCACCCAAATTTTAAGAATGGATAAATATATTTGAAAAAGCTGCACGTTATGCACGACTAAATACAGTACACAAGAATCTAATGAAAATTACAGATTTCAAGAACTGAACTTCCT